ACAGACCCCGTCATGGACATGCTATGTCTATGATGGTTTTGCCTAAGAATCGCCACGGACCTACGGGAGCCGTGGCGGTCCCCATATATGTTTTGCATAAAAAAAATCCCTCCACGAATATGCTATATCCGCGATGGACCTTCATGGACATGCTACGTCCGTGACAGTCTTTAATCCACGCTGTCCGAAAAAATCAGACGGCATCAATCCTATGGGTTTTTCGGACGGCACCGAGCCTTTGGGAGAAAATGAACAATATTTTCACCCATAGGTTCGATGCCCTCTGATTTTTTTGGACAGCGTGGATAAATTGACCGCACCGGACAGACTATGTAATGGACATAGCCTGTTCGGTGCAGTTGATTTTTCACTCAAAAAACTCAAGAAACCACAATTGCTCTTAGGGCGAAACACTATTCATTTTCGTCCTATGGCATTTTTAAGACTTTTCCTCTATATATATATATATATATATATGAAAAGTATACATTGAGACTATTTACCTTTGGTACAAGGTGATCACATTTAATCTTGAACATTAGATGCGAAATTGGATGGATGTATTTATTTCATTAACCAAGCTCAAACTTAAAAAAAAAAATTCTCGAACTTTGTGACACACTTAAGCTAACAGATTTCACATTGGAGGTTTACAAGTAAATGTGACTTCCTTGTATTAAAGGTAAATGGTTTATATATGTATATATATACATATATTCAATGTAAGATGATGAACACCAGATTTTTACAAAAAGAGATTGAAGAAAACATTGAGAACATTAGTAAGTGACAATCTTCTTGGAGTTCCCACTGGGTTCTTCTCATGTTAGGACCTTAGGGGCCTTGTGGAAAATTTACACGCAGCCTATCAACGCCATCCGCATACTTGATATCATCATCATCATCATCATCATCATCATCATAACCTTTTTCCAATTAATCTAATCAAGGTCCGTTATGCTGCTCTATTAATGGTCATACCCTCAGTGAGGCTATAAGTTCCCATATCTTTTTGGACTACTTCGAACCACATCCTTTTGGGCCTACCCATTTCCTTTTTCAGTCCTTCCACTTGAACTAACTCGCATCTCCTAACAGGTGCTGTCATTGGTCAGTGCCACACATGGCCAGCCCACTAAAATCTACTCTCTCTCATCTTATCGCCTATTGGTGCCACACCTAAATTCTCCTAAATGGATTCATTTTGAATTCTATCCCTTCTTGTCTTGCCACTCATCCATCTCAACATTCTCATCTCAGCTACACTAATTCTTTTATCCGTCCAACATTCTGCCCCATAGAGTAAAGTTGTCTTATAGAACTTGCCCTTTAGCATGTGACGATCACATAAATTCCAGTTACACATCTCCACTTCGCCCACCTAGGTCCAATTTTGTGTGTGACATCTTCCTCAATCTCTCTATTTTCTTGGATTATCGACCCAAGATATCAAAAGTTAGCATCTTTTTTTGTTTCACTTTATTATTGGATTGAAAAGGTTGCTAATGAGTCTTTGATCCTAATACCAAAAAGATTGGGTATATCGAGCCAGTCTCTAGTAGACTACCAATTCCTTGTTGTTCTCTGATGGATGTTTTTTTTTTTGAGAGAAGTTCTCTGAAGGATGTTACTGAATAGAGTTGCTTTTTAGCATGAAATCGATACATGCTCACGTATCAATGGGGCTATTTCGCGCTCATAACATGTCTGATATCCTTAGCTTGTCTGCCTTAAATAAGGAATGAAGAGTTTTGCATTTATACTGAGTATATTATTCTCTTTGATCGATTGTCTGATAGCTTTGAAATTTTTGTAAATGGAAAAGGCAGATTTACATTGTAGTTGTTCATGACTCATGCCTGTGGAATGCAGTATACATCTTTGAATGGCTTACTCCCTACGTGGTGTATGATTATTTGCCGGTTCATACTCTGGTTTTGAGTTTACTGACACTGTTTCTGTCACAGGCACGCCTGAAAGAGATCCACACTAGCTTGCTGCATAAACACTTACAACGTCTGGAGCAACCTATAGCAAATGAACCTCAGATCTTGGATGAATATCATGATTTAAGTTCAAAAGAGGAAGAAACTGCACGAGAGGTGGAAGGCACGTAATCTGTTTTCCCACCTTTGCAAAAGTTTGACTTTTAGAATGCCTTGTTATTTGCTGCTTTCAGTGAAAATTACTGATATGGTCCATGTGTAGATATTCGGCCGTACTCCCCGCTGCCTGTGGCAGAGGAACCGGCGTATGAGCTCGAGGAAGAGCCCGGCTCGTTTTCCCCTGAATTATTGCATGGAAATGACGAGGATGAAGGAATAGACCCAAAAGAGGACATGGCTGAGCTGGTGAATACATTTCTAGAGCTCACATATATTCCAATAAAAAGAACTTTGTTGTATTCTCTATGTAAGGCCAAGTTGTGATATTAGATCTACCAAGTCGCATGAATTTTGTGTTACTTGCAAAAATATGGATAAAAATTGACCAATTAGATTTTCTGAAATAATGGAAGTTTAAGTTAGCTGACCAACCTACATTAAGCTGATTTTGTGCAACCATCTTTCTTGAATTAAAAAACTCGAAAAAAGTCAACTTTTATTATAAAGAGAAGGATGCCAACCAATGTGTGGCTCACCAAATGTCAAGACACCTAGATCGTAGCTCTCTGAATATGCATGATGATATAAATATTAGGGATTTAGCAAACGTGTTATGTTGAACATAGGTTTTGTTAAGAATTTTTAAGTTCACCACTTTCTGAATACCCTTATTGTTGCGTGGATTACCTTTTTTTTTTTTGGTGCTGTTTGATGTTAAAAATAATACCCAAACAGGAACGGAGTCGTGCTGCTGTTTTAGAAGAGCATCAAAGGCGGCTCCAAGAAGCGGCCACTGCAAGGGCCTCTGGCTTGCCTGACAATGATACAGAGCTTACACCTCAAGAGAGGGAGCTTGCTGTGAATTCCATGGGGAAAGATGATGGAGACTTCGCATTAGGGCCTGGTGCTGAAGTCAACCTGGAATCACAGGTGTGCATATATGACTTTAAGCAGTATTTCCCTTCCTTCAAAGACCTTTCTGAGGTCCTGATAGTAAATAACTAATCCTTCATGCTTTGTAGGTATATTGGTGGCACGATAAATATCGTCCGAGAAAGCCCAAGTACTTCAACCGTGTCCACACTGGATATGAGTGGAACAAATATAACCAGACGCATTATGATCATGATAACCCTCCTCCAAAGATTGTTCAGGGTTATAAGTTCAATATATTTTACCCTGATCTAGTGGACAAAACAAAGGCACCTGTCTACACCATAGAGAAGGATGGAAGCAGTGGAGAGACATGCCTTATTAGGTTCCATGCGGGGCCACCATATGAAGACATTGTATGTGACTCTCTCTCTATTGTGGTTTGTTTTTTAGGTCTCCCTCTCCCTCAGATTATCAGTTTCGTATCGTGATTACTTTACTTTCTCTCTCTCTCTACCAGTTGAGATGTTCAGATTGTGATTCTGGCTGTTTTGTTCAATAGGCCTTCAGAATAGTGAACAAGGAGTGGGAGTATTCTCACAAAAAAGGTTTCAAGTGCACCTTTGAACGTGGCATATTGCATGTTTATTTCAACTTCAAACGCTATAGATATCGAAGATAAGGAGAAAAGTGGGCATCTAAGGCTGAGCAAAATATTCATGTACCCGATCCCAACAGAGCATATATCTTTTGTGAAGCAGTCACCGTATGTTTCGATGTGCTAATAATGGTCTCAGGAAAAACGTTTGGTATTTTAAAACCCTCCAGTACTGGGATTGCTTCCAAGGATTGGGAGCATGTTCTTAGCTATTCATTACATGGTGAAAGCACGTATGCATCTATGTTCTAAAGCTTTGTAGCTCTTTTATGCCACATTGCAGCTACTGCTTTCCTTTTTCTTTGTACAACAGAAATTTCTGCATTTGTCTGGTTGGGTTGTGGGTAAACATACTTGTTTCTTTATGACTAATGAGATTTGCGCGAATCCAATACTAAGTTATGGCCATTGCAGAAACTCTCATTCTCATCAATTTCTCATATGTGCTGGTGCGTTGATGATCAATGGTGCTCAAGAGTATGAGTTTTTCATTTATTAGTTCAGCTCGCCATCAGTGAGTTTTTCATTTATTAGCAGCTCGTCATCAGAACAGCAAAGTTTCCAAATGAACGACTTCTACGCATATTGTCAGCAGTTAGGACCAATGGTTTAAAAAACGGATCGGTGACCCGGATCGGGCATCCAAAAAATCGATTCGGATCGACGAATCGACGATCCGGATCGGAAATAGGGTGAATCGGTCAGAATAAAGCTTCAAAAAAGTTCAAAATAATTATTAAAATTCATTATAAATATTGTTTTTTAGGAATTCAATAAGAAATGAGGGTACTCTATTAAGAATTTTCATGGTTTTGAATGAATATGCGAATATTGATATGTTTTTTCCTGCATGAACCGCCATTCAGCATTTAATTTACATCATACAAAAAGATAAACATAGAATTATCATGGAATAAGTATATCAACATACATGGACTACAATAAAGCATAAAATTAGTAACATACGATCTAAAAATAAAATGATAGACAACGTTGTTCTTCTTGGTCACGCTGGTGCCTTTGATTGAATTCGTTTGACAATTTATTGATTCAATCTAAAAACGAATCATCGATATTAGCAGGCGTCTGACAATTTTCAAATCCTTGAGTGTTAGTGTTTTGTTGTGTTCCCAATCCAAAATCCCCGAAGCTTGTCCATCCTTCATGCTCATCTGCATTGTCATGCTCATCCCAACACTGTTGCTGTTGGGACTCGATATGTGAATAATATGGTTGGGATAGGGTGGCTTCAGAATCATCATCTCTCTCATTTTCTCTTAGACCCCCTTCCCACTCTCTCATTAGGTGCAATATCACCGACATCTCCGACGAATTGTGGATACGTTAGCTGGCTGTTTTATCTTTCATGGTGCTCATCACTTTCTTCAAGATCTTCATCACCGATAGCCTCAAGGAACGCTCTCTTGTGCAATACTGGCTCCTCCTCTTCTACTATCCATTGGTCTGCTGTGTCTGTAACAAATATTGTGTCTAAGTTTATTGGCCCATAGTCTTCAAGCTTGCTTCTTATTTGTCGCTCTTTGAGGTTTAAATTATAATGAACGTAGACTAGTTTATGAAGCTTCTCAAAAGCGAGTCGATTCCTCTTAGTAGTGTGCAACCATTGGAACGTACTCCAGTTGCGCTCAAGGCCAGTAGCAGAATATGTCTGGGAGAGCACCTTGATTGCTATCCTCTTTAGGTGAGGTGTATCAGTACCATATATCTCCCACCATTCAGTTGGATTAAAATG